TGTGTGTGTGTGTGTGTGTGTGTGTGTGTGTGTGTGTGTGTGTGTGTTAAGGGTACATGACACAGATGAATTCCAGATGTAGAATTAGATGTCATCCCCAAGATATCATTATATGTGTACAGATGTTCCAAAATCTGAAACTCATCTGTCCCAAGCGCTTTGGTAAAGGTTGCATAGCTTGCAGCAGTGCTAATTCAAAGGCCTGGCTACTTCCTGCGTTTCCAAACACAGAGCAGGTTCGTGCCTGGGAGACGAGTGACTCATGGTCTAATACAGACAACCCTCTCTTGCCACATGCACATGTGACCCTCACCTCAGGGAAGGAAGGTATCAGAGTCCACAGATTGGGAACCCTGACTTTCTCCAGTCAGCGGTGGCTTGTGGTAGCGTTGGTACAGTGTCCAGCGTATCTGAATGACAGCAGAGGCCCAGTACTGCCAAGGATATCCAGCTCTCACTCACTAAGGAGAGTTCCCTAATTCTACAGTGGCCTTCTCTGCCTGTACAACAGGGTGCTGGTTAAGGCACGCTGATAACTGTTTGGCAGGAAGATGGTGGTAGGGCTTACCAGAACCCACCAGGTTCAGGATCAAGAGGGCACCCCGACCTCACCGTTGCCAGCTAGTGCAGACAGAGGAAAGCTGGCATTCCATTTAAAGAGAGAAAGAAGCAGCTTTATGCTCTCAGCCCATTCAGCCAAGGTGCCAGGCGTCACGTGGCCAGCGGAGAAGGACATGGAGAACTAGCTGGATTTTGGCTGCAGAGGCCTCTTCCTCCCTGGCAGGAGTCATATTGCTCCTCGCATGTGGAACACTGTCTGGTCTTGATGGCTCAGGTACATGTGCACACGTGTCTGAGGAAGTGGCTGGGGAGGTCTGGTGAATGGCTGCAGGGATTCTCTGAAGCACTGGCCTCGCACAGTGCATTCCATCAGAGACTCCTAGGCAGTGTGTCCTTTGACCACACACAGCCGCCACCAGGTCAATCTGAGAAATACTTGGGAGTCACAAAATAGTGTGTTCCCAAGTCACTTGGGGTCTGGCTGGCTAGACATGTCACCAGGAAGAAGGAGAGGAGGCTCTGCTGAGGGCCAGACTGAATCAAGTGTTTTGCTCATGGCATCCAATTTAAGCTCAGCATTTCCTGGTAACATGCCGTTTGCCGTGCCTTTGTAGAGAGTCAGAGGTTCAGAGAGGGTCACAGGCTGCTTCAGGCTGAATACAGGGAAGGACAGAGGTGGCACGGGGGACAAGCACAGGAAGGGAGTGAGGGAAGGCTCCAGTGGCTTGTTCCCTGTCAGGGCCAGGTTGAATGGGTTCCAGCAGTGAGAAGGTCAGGAAGAGGGAAAAGGACCCCGTGAACCAGCGATACAGGATCTAGCAGTTGTGATTTATCTCTTCTCTTGTCTTGTTTCCCCAGATGATGGCAGTCCTGCTGATGTATTTGCCGTGGGGTTTGAAGAGATGGTGGAGCTGAGTGCGGGAAATATTGTCAATGCCAGGTAAGGGGCCAGGCCTGGGGATCAGGGTGTCTCTGGGCCAGGTGTGCCTTGCCAGGATCAGGGCTCCAAGCTCCCCTAGAGCCAGCTTGTTTCTGGGCCAGCAGCCATGGCTCCGGCTGTCTCAGTCCTTCTGGCTACATTCCCGGCCCACGCTGGCTGATAGAGCGCTCTGCTTGTCTTTTCCTGCTGATTAAACACACAGGAGGGACTGGTGGTGTGTCTTTTGTGACATGCTCCAGCCTGGGCTTTGTGTTGTGATTGAGTCACACTGTCTCGGCGTGTGTGTGTGTGTGTGTGTGTGTGTGTGTGTGTGTGTGTGTGTGTGAACCTGAGGGCAGGGCAGGACAAGCAGAATGTCTGGGTAAAGTGATGGGGGAGGGGTCTGTAAGAGGTTCTGAAGTGCTTCTCTTCCCATCGGGCAGGAAGGGGAGAGCCCAAACTACTGGGTAAACTCTTGATGTAAAGTCAAATAGGCATTCATCTCCATGGGTGACCAGTCTTATCGCAAGGAACTCTTTACTTTTTAAAATTACATGTAGTGTGTGTGTGTGTGTGTGTGTGTGTGTGTGTGTGTGTGTGTATGTGTGTGAACAACTCGTGGGTATTGGTTTTCTCCTCCCACCACATGGGTCTTGGAGCTTGGATTTGGGTTGTCAGGCTCTGTGGCAAGTACCTTCTTTACCCACTGGACAATCTCATCAACCCTTAGGCTTTTAAAGCAGATAAGTAAAATAACACGGAAGTTTTTATCTTATCGTGCCTAGGTGCCATGGATGGGGGGCACTGCTACGGCATATGAGATACGGTCAGACCTGGGCCTGGTGTCGCAGACCTGTAACACCAGCTTACTCAGGAGGCTGAGGCAGGAGGATTGCAAGACCAAGGTCTGCCTGGGCTACAGAGTCAGCTCAAGGCCAGCCCAGATGAGCTAGGGAGTTACTGTCTCAAAAAGTGAAGAGGGTTGGGGATGCCTTTTGCCTAGAGCACACAATGTCCTAGCTTCACTCCTCACTACCACCAATAAATAAATAAATAAATAAATAAATAAATAAATAAATAAATATAAATACTCAAGAACAACTGAAAACAACAAAACCCAATAAAAGCCATGTGGAAGCTCGTGAGAAGCGTTGACATCTGGCAGTCATATTGGGGGTACAGACGGTATGCCATCTGTAGAAAAGACAGATGGGGGCTATGGTTGGCAGTGGGAGAAGGGTACTTCCTGCTAGCAGCAGCAGCATCCCTCACCTGCCTGCCTTTCCAGCACCACCAACAGGAAGATGTGGGGTGAACAGCTTCAGAAAGCCATCTCCCGCTCCCATCGGTACATCCTCTTGACCTCCGCACAGCTGGTGGGCGTGTGTCTTTATATCTTTGTCCGTCCGTACCATGTCCCGTTCATCAGGTAAGAACTGTTAGCTTATAAGCGTCTTGGGAACAGGGGCTTGTGAGTCGGTTTTGTTCTGTGACTTCCTTCTGATGCCCTCCTCTCCCCATACCTCTAGCAGGAAACAGGACCTGCCATTATTCTCAGTGAACAGAGCAAAACTCCTGAGGGAAAATGGGCTTGAATTGAATATTGTCTGGCAGTTAAAAAAGCCACCACGGGAAAATCCTAACTCAGGAAACTGGCCTCCTAGGAAGAGTCAGGGCTGATCTCAAGCAAGCCCAGGCAGGGCGGGAAGTGGGTCTCCCATTCACATTTCCCAGACGTGAATGTCCTGAGCAAGCGCTGAGTGAGCGCTCAGGAAACCCTGGTGCTTTGGTCTCTTCTAGAGTTGTAGTTAGGAGTTCATTTCACCTCATTATTACCTCTCTAAGACCGTGGCTTTGTGACTGTGTAAGGAGCAGTCAGCCTTAGGAAACAGGTGTCTTTTAGGAGAGGGTGTTTTTGTTTGTTTGTTTGTTTGTTTTTGCTTTCTCGCTGCCTGCTATTGCTACATGGTCTTGCTGGTAGCATTAGGATTACCAGTTGCTAGTGCAAGGCATCGAACAGACCTCCCATCCAAGTCCAGTGGCCTGAGACCTGGCCAGTCACCACGTAAAGAGGGCCACTGGAATGCCCTATGGTGCCCTTAGGCTCTGCATTCATAATCTTCTTTTACCTGCAAATCGTATTCAGGGCCCTGCCCCTTTTGTTACCAGGCCCCGAGTGTATTAAGAGAGGTCTGGGTGGAGGTAATGATAAGTCCTGGGGAGAGGTGAGGTGGGAGAATGGCAGATCTCCCAAGCCCGCCTGAGGTCTCTTCACCTTGCGCCCAGTGTCCTGCCCTTTGGCCTGAAGTTTGTTTGACTTAACCCCTGGGCAGGTTATCACCCATCCACCCCCGCCCCCACCTTGTCCCCCACATCGCAGGCATACAGCAGTCTCCAGCTGTGGCCCACTCACAGAAACACCAGGCAGCCAGCAGTCTGTGGTCTGAGGGCCTTGCCCAGGCGTGCATCCCCAGTGCATTCCGGGAAGGGCAGTATGGGACGAGCTCCCCAGGTCAGCTCAAGGCCTGTTTCCTAGTTCTCAGAATGGTTCCCCCTATTCCTTCCGTGAGAGCAGAGGGCCACGGGTCCCAGTGCGGCACCTGCTGCTTCTGCGCAGAGAGCTGGGGCAGACACAGCAGTGCTGTGACAGAGCAGACCCGACAGAGGTGTAGCGCACCCAGGTGTACTCAGCAGTGAAAAGAGCGGCAGGCTCAACGGGGTCCGTCGGTCTCCAAGCTTTGCCCTGCAGGCGCTACTCTGTGTTAGAACGGGTTCATATTTCTCCACAGCCAACAGATCGTAACACTGTCTCGTTACAGGGACGTGGCCATCGACACGGTGAAGACCGGCATGGGGGGAAAGGCGGGGAATAAGGGCGCCGTGGGCATCCGCTTCCAGTTCCACAGCACCAGCTTCTGCTTCATCTGCAGCCACCTGACGGCTGGGCAGTCTCAGGTGAAGGAGAGGAACGAAGACTATCGGGAGATTACGCACAAGCTCTCCTTCCCGGCGGTGAGTGGCCTGTGGGTGTACACTGGGCCTGCTGCTCGGATTTGCCACCTGTGGCCTCCTGGGCTGCTAACAGGTGTGCGCCTGGGCACACTTTGGGGGTGTTTCTAATTCAGATGATGGAGGAAAACCAGTGTGATCATATGGAGAGATTTAGGCAGTATGGTTTTATTTTCGTGGCAGTGGTAGCGTGGATTTCACTTTCTTCTGACGCACATATGCATACCTCTGTGGCTGTTCTGCAATGAACTCCTGTTTCGAAACTGGCAAATCCTAACTGAAAAAGCCCTGAGTCTCCAGAAAGGCACGCCACACTGCCCTCTAGTGACAACCCAGGGATTTCCGTGCTGAAACCAGCAGGCTTTCTTCTCAAATTCAGATTTTAGTGTACTTCCCCTCCCGTACAAAGCCGGTACCTCAACACCTCAGCCTGGTATATGGGCCCCACTTTCTAGCCAGGGACATAAGGTTCAGATGGCCTTGCAATGGATCTTTCCAGTTTTCAACAGAGTCTGGCTAGATCCTAGAATTCTTCCTTTACTGGACAGATGAGTTCCCTGTGAGAATAGAGCCACTCAGTTAGACATCACTTTCAAACATGGGTGCTTTCTTCTATGAACCAACTCTACCTTCATTGTTTGGGATTGAAGTTATGTACTAAGGGTGTGTCGGTAGTCCAGCCAGAGTGGAAGCGTTGCTGGATTAAAATCCATTCATAGCTGAGGAGACAGTTCATGTTTCTCCTGCAGTGCATACAACTGGGTGTGGAGGTGCACGCCTGTGGTCTCAGCTATGTAGTCCTGGGCTGCACAGGGCCCTATTTCAAAAAGTAGCTACATAAAACAGAGAAGCAAATTGTGTAAGGATTTCTTGGAAAGTTTACAGGGCTAGGTAAAAATGAGACACTTGAGCGGAAAACAACATTTTAGGAGAAACATCCAAAGGCTTGTTCCTCCCGTCTCCCCTTCCACCTTCCTTACATTTGATATGTTCTTTCCACCTTAGGGGAGAAACATATTTTCACACGATTATGTGTTTTGGTGTGGTGACTTCAACTACCGCATCGACCTTACCTATGAAGAAGTCTTCTATTTTGTTAAACGACAAGACTGGAAGAAGCTTATGGAATTTGACCAGTTACAGCTACAGAAGTCAAGTGGGAAAGTGAGTTGTACCTTTAAGATCTCTTCAGTAGCTGCTCCTGTGTGGTGTGCTGTCTGCTCATGCGCATGCGCTAAAGCTGTGAGCGGCTTCAGTGCTGACTGCGATGGTAGAGAAAACACGCAGGGTTTCATGACGTGAGAGGAACAGGACAGTACAGCTGCACAGACTGCTGAACTTAGTGGCTCTCTGGTCACACACAGGGCCCCTGTGTCTTCCTACGGCTGACTGCACTATCTCTGAGGAAAAGCCACCTGCTGAGGGCCCGGGCTTTCCACTACCTCTAATGCACTGTGTTTTCTGCTTTTAGACATGAGTCGGCCTGTCTAGCTCCCCAGAGAGCATCCGTGCTCAGCCTGAGTCATGGTTGCCTCCTTGTGTCCCCCTCTGACAATGTCAGATGGACCATTGCATTGAAGGTGTTGAGTACTGGTGCACGTGGTCTCCCTGTAACCGAATACACTCGCCTCTCTATGCATGTGCGGTCTTTACAGGGACCCCTCTGCTTCTGACATAAGAAGCTGCTGGGTGACACTTTGGACTCTGCTTACAATATTTTGTTGCTGTCCCATTCTTGTTAGTAGAACACTAACAGAGTCGTTTACACACCAATTTGTACATAGGTTCCTCCACACTGCCCTACAAATCATACTCCTTCTATTGACAGAACGGAGAATAAAGTTGAATTAAGTGTCTGAGGTCATGTAGCCAGCACACCAGGCCACAGCTTGCTCCAAAAGTATCCATCGCATGTGCTGGACCATGGTGCATGTACAGGTTTCTAGGGACTTGGAAGGATGTGGCATAAATGACACAGGATCAGAGCAGCCGTGTTCCAGATGCTCACAGCTCATCTTCTCTAGCTAAGACCATTGCTTATTCCAGAGTCCTGTGTTTCTAGTATGTGAAGCATACCATTTGCCTTTGAGAATGCAGCTACTTAAATGTATGAGGAAAGAAAAACGAAAGTCTCTCTCCTTCCAAAACGAGACTCAGCCACCTTTTCGAGTTTTGCTCTGCCTAACTGTGAAGTATACAGATGAGCCATGTCACCCTACAAATCTTTTTCTCTTCCTCCACCAAATTCTCACCGCGTTCTTCACTATGTCAAGTGAGAGAGCTTTTGCTGCGGCTCTAAAAACATTGCACACAGGCACTGGATGCTCAGATGAGCACACAATGCTCTCTGTCCTGTGATCCCTTCACCATCTCAAAGGGGGTGGCCAAAGGAGGCTGACAGGAGGAGAGGCAACGTGCTGTGGTGGTGTGTTTGTGTGTCCATCTTCAGAAGACGAGTATATCCAATATTACACATACTTACATATAGAGCCCATTACTCTTAGAACACTTTAGAATGTGCCACCTTCTTTTTCTCCTTCTCCAAATAGATTTTTAAAGACTTTCATGAGGGAACCATTAACTTTGGACCCACCTACAAGTATGATGTTGGATCAGCTGCCTATGACACAAGTGACAAGTGTCGTACCCCAGCCTGGACAGACAGGGTGCTGTGGTGGAGGAAGAAGCATCCTCATGATAAGACGGGTGAGTGCCATGTGCCTTTCTGAAACAGAATAGGGGCAAATGAGACATACCATAGCGGGAAAGAACCAGTCACTCAGTCTGGTGGCCTGGCTATGTAAATCACATTTTTCTCAATTAGTTAGCCAAATGATAACAAGACATTCTAGATGTTACCATATTTGAACCACCTCTATCCTCGTTCTGCCTCTCCATCATGGCTACTTCCCACCCTCTGACCTTTATCCTAAAAGGAAAAAAGAGTAAAGTCATGGGCTATCTCTCACTTCCACTCACACCTCTCAGGTACTTGATTGAGCCCATTTTGCTCAACCAAATTCTTGCCTTTTAAAGCCTCAAATCCAAATGGAACACGAGCCAGACTGAATTTTTTTTTTTTAAATCAGTGAGTTGTAAAGTCTGTTTTGAAGCCACCGATGCCTAGAAGGAAAGCTAAACTCATTAAATTCAGAACATCTGTGATCTAGAATGCAAACAGCCTTTCCACATTTCAAGAGAGGTCTGCAGAGATTTCAAAGCCAGGAAACTAGAGCTACAGCTGGAAGTAGATCACACACACACACACACACACACACACACACACACACACACACACACAGATTAGTCTGAGAACATCTACATGGTCCCAGGACACTGAGAGGCAGGGTTTGTGAACCTCAGAGCCTCTGTCTGTGCAAAACCCAGAGGTCTCAGAGGTAATGGACTGCTGCACTATGGTCCACAGCTTAGAGACCTGAGTGGGGGTGGGGTGGGATGATGCCATGGTTGTTACAGTTCTTGGTCATATGAGTGTGAAAAACTGTTTCACCCCAGCCCCAAAGCAGCCCAAGCCAAACTTGAAGCTCAAGGGGGAGCCTGAGCCAAGGTGGTTAGGGGCAGAGGTCTTTGCTGCAAGCTGTCAGAATTACATTCATCCATATTGATATGGTTTTGTGTCTCCTGTTGGCTGTTGGGCTCTTGAATGGAATCCCATGAGCAGCTGAAGAACTCAACCTTCTAGACAGTGATCTAGATGGTGATGCCAAGATCAGACATACCTGGTCTCCAGGAACTCTCAAGTACTATGGCCGTGCGGAGCTGCAAGCATCTGATCACAGGTATGGCCCCCACTGAGGAAAGCACTGGCTGCACTTCCCCAAAGGACACCAACATGCTGTCCCTGTAAGGACTGGAAGGATGACAGAAAGGATGGAGTGGAGCGGAAAGAGGAGAGAGTATGTGTGTGTTTGTATGAGAGAGAGAGATAGGGGGTGCCCTGTGTCCGCCGTTGGGAAGTAATAATTGTTAGCATCTTGTCATTGTTGCATATCACAAGTGGCATTATTCATGAAAATACCGAAGACACAGCCTGTACAATGATGTATCTAACAGCTCTGGGGGACAAGGGCAGGTTGGAGGTGGGGATGGGACCTGCCAAGGCCAACGGCTCTCCACCGTTTCCTTCTCCTGTCTGATGCAGACCTGTGCTGGCCATCGTGGAAGTGGAGGTGCAAGAGGTCGATGCAGGAGCCCGAGAGAGAGTTTTCCAGGAAGTGTCCTCCGTCCAGGGCCCTCTGGATGCCACCGTCGTTATAAACCTTCAGTCTCCAACTCTAGAAGAGAAAAATGAATTTCCAGAGGACCTGCGCACAGAACTTATGCAGACTTTGGGGAATTATGGGACCATTGTTCTGGTCAGGTAATCCCCGCCCCTCAGATGTATGTTCTGGGGTGTCCGTGGGCTCTAAGAGAGCCGCGTTAAATTCCTAGTATTGACTGGCTCGTCTCCTGTGTCACAGGATCAACCAAGGGCAGATGCTGGTGACATTTGCAGACAGCCACTCGGCTCTCAGCGTGCTGGGTGTGGATGGTATGAAGGTGAGTGGGACTTACTCAAACTGCGGAGTAGGCTGACCCATCCCCACATGGCCATGATTTTCCCTGGCCAGTGCCCTACCTATGTAGCCACCATGATACATCGCAGCGGGGAGCTTCCATCTTGGTCTTGTGTCTCGGAGCTGACCTTGCCCCACTTACAGCAGCTGAAAGTGTGGTCCCCACAGTTCTTTGCTCCCACCTAGACAGAAGGGACTTCCCACCTTTCTCTTGAGACTGTTTTGGGACATGCAGCTCCCAACTTGGTTCTGTTTTGATGAAATCCTGGTTTAAATTTGCACGGCATGAAAAGCCAGAGGTGTTGGATCCAGTATGCGTGAGCTGTGCTTGAGCTCACCTGGGGTCTGGACTTGGAGTTTCCTTAGCAAGCTGTGATGATTGTGCAGTTGGAGAGAGAAGCGCTTGTGAATGAAGGGAGTCGTGACTGTTCCTTGTTCTTACTTTCTGGCTGGCCTCCCAGGTGAAAGGCAGGGCCGTGAAGATTCGACCAAAGACCAAAGATTGGCTGGAAGGCTTGAGAGAGGAGCTTGTTCGGAAGCGGGACAGCATGGCCCCTGTGTCTCCCACCGCCAACTCCTGCTTGCTGGAGGAGAACTTTGACTTCACGAGTCTGGATTATGAGTCAGAAGGTGAGTGACTCTGTCAGGAAGGACATGCAAAGAGTTCCAGTGATGAGCAGGCCTTGTCCAAGACCCTGCCTCACAGTGGTTACTGGGGACAGTTGAAGTGTGGGAGTTGCATCTGTGCGATAGCTGGGGATCACATGCAGGTGTTCCAGTGTTCACTCACAACCATGGGTTGCAATGTCCACATGTGGGGATGGATATCTCACATACACAGACGGTGGCTTTGAGGATATTGGCAGTGGGCGTGCATTTGAGGTGGGGACCTGGCTGGGGACCTGGCTCCTGTGCCTGCCAGCAGATTCTCTCGGAAGCTTGTGTTAGTTACATTGGTTTCACGGTGCTCAAATTCCTGACACAGACCACTTCTAAAGAGGAACTCTTCATTTCGGTTCACAGCTAACAGGGCTGTAGCTGTTTTAGTTAGTGTTTCTATTGCTGTGACAAAACACCTTGACCAAAAGCAACTTGGGGAGGAAAGGTTTATTTCAGCTACAGTTACACATCACAGTCCCTCATCAAAGAAAGGCAGGGCAGAAGCTCAAGGCAGGGAACGGAATTGGAGGGCCATGGAGGAGTGCTTCTTGCTGGCTGGCTCCCATGACTTGCTCAGCCTGCTTTCTTATAAGAAAGCCTCCAGGATGGACCCTTCCATATCAATCACCAACCAAGAAAATGCCCCACAGACTTGTCTACAGGCAATCTTATACAAGCTTTTCTCGATTAAGGTCCCTCTTCCCAAAAGACTCTAACTTATGTCAAATTGACATAAACCTAACTAGGACGAGAACCTTTGGCTCCGTTGAATCTGGGCCCATGGCAAGGCAAGATCACCATGCATAGGACATGTGACAGTGCACAAGACACAGAAAATACCATTGTCTTCTTTTGTTCCACGTGGGCCTCAAGGGATCCTGCCCCACCCCAGCATTAGCCCTTCCTTTCCTAGTTAATCTTCTCTGGACACAGATATCTTGTAGGTATCCCTCAAGCCAGTCAAATCGACGGCCAGCAGGATGGTCCCACTGGCTGAAGGCTAGACTTCTGCACCCTAACTGCCCTCATCCTCACGTGATCCGTTCTTTGTAAAGGGGATGTTATCGAAGATGAAGAAGACTATTTGGTGGATGAGTTTGGCCAGCCTGTGGTCTCAGACAGTGATCTTGGTGGAGACGACTCTTGTGATACCACGCGCTCCTCGGCACCTGCCAGCAAATCTCCCGCACTGGCTAAAAAGAAGCAACACCCAACCTACAAAGGTAGCTCCTCTCCTGCTTTCTAGGGGGTGGGGCTGGAGTGGTGTCCTCTTCCTCTTGAAGGTCTGCTGTCAGGTGCGCAGGTCCCAGGACAGGATCAGCCAGCACAGCATACAGAACTTGTCCTCGGGGAGGACTCCATCCTCCTCCACACACTGATTTCCTTTGGGTCTTTTCTTCTTTCTTTTTTTTCAGTGTTTGTCCCTGTACCACACCTAATTGGAGATAAGTCCCTTTTCTTTTACGTACTCAAGGGGCCACAGTTTCTCTAGCAGTGCTTTTGTCCCCAGTACTTTTCTGATTGAATCCCTGAAGAGACACACTCATATCTGCACCCTGGTGTGTGGCTTCATTCACATTATGTCCCATTACACAGTGGCATCATTACATTATAGAATGGAGGAGAGAAAAAGGTTATATGGAATGAATGTATATCCCAGATTACTCGGCAGAACCTTAGATTAATTTAGATTAAGTTGACCCTGGTGCATCCAAAATTCTCCGACTGCCTTCCACTCTCAGTCACTGTGTCCCTAACTGGAGAGAGGCTCTGGCCAACAGTGCAGGACCCTTGGGGTAGGGCTCAGAAAACAGAGCATGGCTGACAGGGAATTAAGCTGTTTCCTTGTCAAGAGGGGTACAAAGACTCATGTGCCCCACATGTTCCTTTAATTAAAGAATGGTCCCCAAACTGATCAGTACCTTGCCACTCGAAAACCACTGGTTGGTTTTAACACTTTGAGTTGCTGCGTCTGCCATAGAGATTTGGATTTGGTAAGGTGTGTGGGGTAGTGTGCACACAGACAGCCTTCATGAAAGAAAGCAGGTCAGCATCGGTGATGGCTCCTCTGGCTTTCTCTCCTCCAGCTTTGGCTCTTCCTGGTCTTCTCAGAGAAATGTACCGGTCATGGTGTCAGGCATTCAGCAAGTGGCTGGCTGAGGCTTCTAGTATTTAAGAGCTTGCCACCAGTGCCAGGCTAGCAAAGAAGAGAGGCTAGTCTCAGCTTCCAAATCAGTAGCCACCTTTCAGGATGAGGAATTAAGTTCTCCTCCTATGGGGGGTAAATCTCAGGAGCTCTGGTTCCACTTTTGCTTGTGTAGATGTGAGGCAGATCATTTTGGAAGGAGATGGTTTACGCACTAAAACATGCTAGGGCTTCTCAAGTCTGGCAAACCAGGCCCACAGTTCACCGAGTGTTCCAAGCAGGCATTGGGTGTACCCTCACTCCAACAGAGGGGCTCTCACTTTGAAAGCAGACCCCCTGGGTATCCATTGCACTTCTGCCTACCACAAAGCCATCTCTTACCCTTGCGCCTGGAAGAGACCATCTTTCTCACAGCTGCCATGTCCTCCAGACGACGCTGACCTCGTGAAGTTAAAGCAGGAGCTGGAAGCTGCTGGGGATTTTCGCCACCGTTCTCCGAGCAGGTCCCTGTCCGTCCCCAATAGGCCTCGGCCACCTCACCCACCACAGAGACCCCCCCCTCCAAGTAAGACTTTGCTTACTCTGAGCTTGCCACAATGCCTGCTGGGAATAACCGCACACCTCCCGCTACTGAAAGCACGGCTCTAATCCACTGAGTCCCTTCTGATGCTCCCCCACCCAGGGCTCCTTGTCATCTAAATCTAGGACATATTCCATGCTGGAGGTCATAGGTGCCTCATGGAATGTGACACAAAGCCTGTCTAAAGCTGTTCATCCAGGAATGTGGCTTTTACTCCAGGCATCTTAAATTTAAAACCGTTAGTGTGGAAAAGGGCTTATACCCTTTGAGGTAATGTTTTTAGCTTTTCCATCAGGTGCTTGTTCCTTTGACAGACCTGTCTTTAGGAACCCGGTCCACCCAGAGACCCAGCATGCACACTCCTAGCCCAGGCCATGATCCACCTCCCGTTCCTGTTTTTGGCTCTCGGGATAAGCCCTGTCTGTCCAGGCTCTCCCAGTATGACAGTTTCCCTCCAGCCCCTCTGATAATGCTTTTCCTATCATCACACTTGCCTTAATCTCAAAATAACCTCGTGGCTTGCTTTCTATTTGTTTCTCTCTTATGGTTTGCTTCCCTCCCCACCAAACTGTGAAAGTCAAACGCAGACTTTTCTAAGCCTCTAACCCACTCCTTTCAAAATTGGGTTCACCCAGAGCTGACATACAGCAATAATCAGTATCCCTCTAGAAGCATACCTTTGCTTTTGTGAGCTTATATCCAAAAAATAGAAATGATACTGAAAATATCAAGTTTATAAGGTATTTGTTGTGGTAAACTGAAGCCAGAAGATGAAGAGTTTAGGGCCAGTATAGCATACATAGCAAGAATGTATCTCAAAAAATAAATTTAAAAATTAGATAAACAAATGTATAATCATATTATTTTAGAGCTCTCATAAAAATAGTTACAGAGAGAAGAATCAAAATGTAAAATTTATTTGGCTACCTACAAGTAGAACTTTCAGTCAAAACTACTTCCATTGTTTTTTTTTTTTCAGTTGCATACATGTGTATTTATACATTATTTTAAAAGAAAACAATTAAGTGCTGGGGCTATGTGCTAGCCTAATGTGCATGAGGCACTAAATTCAGTTCCTAATTCTGACAAAAAGAAAAATTTAACAAACTTATCTCTTTTGCTCATTTGTTTTTATTTCACTCACTGTGTCATTAAAGACCTAACTCATTAACGCCTAAAAGCAAAATGTAACAATTCATTTCTCTGAGCTGGAGACTCTAGAACTTTTATCTTCTCTCAAACATTTAAAAAAAAATGTTTTAAGGGCGGGGAGATGGCTCCATGAGTAAAAGCACTCGCCATGCAAGCCTATGACCTTCCCTGAGGTGGGCTCTGTGCATATCAGAGCACCAGATTCCATATCAGAGCTGCCGTATTGAGGGGAACGGTCTTGATCCCACTACTCTCACTGCTTGACAAGAGGAGAGAAGGGGGGAGGACCCCAAGAACCTGAGAACCAGCTCCCTGGAGTGTGCTGTCCAAACAGCAGGGGACCCTGGCTCAAACAAGTTGGAAGACAAGGACCCAAGGCTGCCCTCTGTCTTTACACGTGCTGCACACAAAACAAATGCTTTGTACAAACACCTACACGTGCATGCACACACACACACACACACACACACACACACAATTAACATTTAGGATAATTGATCCTGATAGTAACGCTTGATAATAATGTTTTAAACCGCTTAAAAATCAATTGGTTTTTATATAAGACTAGAAGCCGCCTGTGTGTTAGACTTAAACAGTTTGTGTCAATAGGCCAAGCCATCAGAGAATCACCAGGAAGTCTGCTTTGTTTGTGTGGTGCTAGGGGTGCCAGGCCTCATCTGTGCTGTGAGAGCTCTCTGCTGCGAACCCACAGCCACAGCCCCTGAAGGATCTTTTGGGTCCTGTCTGAGAGCACTCTGGGTGGCTCATGAGCCTGCACACCTGACCATGGCTGTGGCTGCCTCTCCGGCTGCCTCCTCCTAATGTCTTGTAGCTCACTAGCATGTGACCAAGTGACTGAAGCTGACACTCTTTTCTTGTCATTCTTCATAGCCGGTTTAATGGTGAAGAAGTCGGCCTCAGATGTGTCCATCTCCTCTGGCACTCATGGGCAGTATTCAATCTTGCAGACTGCAAAACTTCTTCCAGGGGCCCCTCAGCAGCCGGTGAGTCCTCGATTGGCTCCCAGTACTGAGAGCTCCACCTCAAGAGCTCACGCCTTTTCAAGGAATATATATATATGCCGCTCCGTCTCCCTAACCCTCCCCCTGCCCACCAGCTCATCCCCCAACCCCCTAACGCATAGTGGCAACGTCTTTACAGGACTACTAAGTGGCTGTGCAAAGCACCCCCGGTGCCCTGCAAAGCGAACTGCCCACTTCCGTCTCCTTCTCTCCCTTGTAATTCCTGCCTTTGCCTAGATCTGTAGCGTACTGCATGGTAAAGGGGAAAAGGAAAATTTAGATAAGTTTGGCCATTTTGGTGGAAGGCCAGAGACCCACTAGGCCTGGATTCTGCCCTAGCTCGGTTCTGAAGACTTGCAGGGGAGGGGGCAGGAGCCCTGAGCTGCTGCTGCGTGTAAAGGCCGGTGGCGGGACTGAAGGAGGTGGTGGTGCGCTCAGGAGGCTACCCAGGCCAGCAGGCTGAGGAACTGACTAGATTCCGGGACGCACGGGAATAAAAGTGGGTCTCAGACGACCCGGGAGCTGAGTGAGGAGGTAGACAATCCCACTGAGAAATATGTATCATACACAGAGCATGGAAGGCGTGGCCTGGGACTGTTAGACCTGTTCATTTCTACCTGGCTATGGAAATAACAACAAAAGACGGTGCATCCACATTGCAAAAACCCTGTCCTCAGCCTGTTGAAGAGCTGAAGATCTTCAGCCCTGACCATTACTGGTCCCGGATCTCGGTGGGCGGAGAAGGATGTGGTTTAGCTTTAGTGGGTTCGTCCATCACTCGGGTTCTGCATTCGGCCACCGGGCACCTGTACCAACGAGTAGGCAAAGCGCACACCGCGCTCCACAGAGGCTCGTTTCCTACCCGCGGTAACCGTGTCTCTTCCCGTTTCTGTCCTCCAGCCCAAGGCAAGAACTGGAATAAGTAAACCTTACAACGTCAAACAAATCAAAACCACCAATGCCCAGGAGGCGGAAGCAGCCATCCGGTGTCTCCTGGAAGCTGGCGGGGGTAGGTGGTCTCTTGGGAACCACGTCCTGGCCAAAAGGGGGTGCAAAGTTGCATTTTATCCTCTCACTGATAGCGGCTTAGAAAAGAGCTGGGTGTGCTCTTTCTTTACTTTTTCTCTCCTCTTTCTTTCTTTTTTTTTTTTTTATGCAATGTTAAATGGAAGTAGTCTTTGGTATTTTATTTACTTATATACTCAAAATTCATGAAGTATATAGAAAGGAATCCCATGAGATTTAGCAGCACTTTAGAGATAAACAAAACTTTAAAAAAGGTTCATGTTGGGCCAGTGAACCTGAAGGTCTGAGTTCAATGCCGGGACTCACGTGGCAGAAGGAGAACCAATTACCACAGGTTGTCTTCTGAGCTCGGCAAGGGCAGCATGGCACCTGCGTGTCCCTCCATATTTACAAAGAGTTAAAGTTACACGTACTAATTCATTCTGCCAGCGGGGTGACAGAGGACCATGGTGTATGCCCTTAATGCAAGCACAAAGTCCACCTTGTAAAGTCATGGGCAAGTGTAAATAAGTCCTGTGCTCCAGGCTGGGTGTCTTCCCTGTCACACTACTGTTAATTTTTTCTTGCTTTTACCTCACTTAACCCTTGTTATCCTACTTGAAGTTTCTCCCATTTTTTTTTTCACATCACTGCTGCCAGCATTTGCTGTTTTGGCCTGGGCTATAATCCAGAAGCTTTTGTGAAGAGGAGAGATTATGCCCTTTGTAAAGACATGTGGGATATCATAATTGCCCAATTGCATTATCCAGGGTATTTATTGGACTTGGAATTCTCAGCACACTGAAGGAGGGCAGAGGACATGTTTAGAAATTCGAGAAACATTGTTGAAGGATTATACAGCACAAGTGGCTTTGGTTTTTATTAACTGATAAATGAATAAAAATATATTACATTCATACAATGGAGTATTAGTCAGCTGTGGGAATGCAGAGGTGCGTATCACGGTGAGGGCAGACCTTGAAAAGGTTATGCTGAGGGAAAGAAATGAGACACAGAAGCACATGCTGTGCTGTTCCACGCATACGTGATATCCACAGTCGCTGGGTCGGCGGAGACAGGAAGTGCGAGTGGGAAGAAGGAACGGGTTTCGTTTTGGCATAACAAACGTTCTGGAATTGGATAGTGGCGGTGTCTGCGACACCTGCATTAACAATCATTTAAATGGGCTAAGCTTCCGGCGGGCGGGTTATAGTTCAACAAAGTGTAACGAACAGGCAGCTCTAGAGCTGCATGTTTGTGGAGGTTTGAAGTCTCCCCACCATCTCCATGCAACCTGCAACTGTCTTATTCCTGCTCCTGTTGAGAATCTGTTGCTTTGTGGATGCTCTTCCTTAAGAAACATACAACAATTTTCATACGGAATTGGGTCTCACCTTTCTTTCCTCAGACCCTCTTGCTATGAAGGACATGAGTGCGCAGAGCTGGGGCCAGACCTAGCCTAATTTAAGAACTGATACTCCATAAGGATGGAGAGTCAATAGGACACTAGACTCTCTGGATGGTAAGATATGCAGACAATTACATGTCCTTGTACTTGAGCGGAGTGATTTTTATGTTTCAGGTATCCCAGAAGTAGCCCCAGGTCACATGACCCTGAGAGACCAAGGGTCTTCCAGGCCAGAGCCTATGTCCCTGGGAGGCAAGCCAGAGGCCTCCCTGGGGCCGCCAGCCCTCCCTCGCCGGCCTGCTCCTAGGGTCCCTGCCATGAAGAAGCCAACTTTGAGGAGAACAGGAAAGGTAAGAAGCCAAGGCCTGTGAACCACTCATTCCAAGCTTACTCAAGGTCTTGTTACATGAAATTATGTCAAGGACAGAAATAAAGTTGGATTTGGTTTCTCTTTCCACACCTGCATCCCAGACTCAGCCACATCTGGGGAAATGGCTCATTCTGCAACCGCTTTCCCCTCCTCTTCCTGCTGTAGCCTGGCCTCAGCTGAGCAGAGCAAGGAGCTCGCTGCCCTTCGCACTGTGACAGTCATGAACAGCTTAAGAGAGACTGCTCCCTGAGTGTCAGCAGTCTCCACAGGGAGCTGCTGTGGGTGCTTCCTACCCAGTGTCCAGCGCTGCTGTGTGTGTGTGGTGTGTGCATGTGGTTTCACATGCAAAGATTTGTGTGCATTGGAAAAGCACTAACCGGGGCTGGGTGCTTGCTGCGCAAGCATGAGGACCTGGGTTTGCATCCCACCACTTATGTGAAAAGCACAACCTAGCCTCACATGCACCTGTAACCCAGAGATGTAGAGGGCAGAGACAGGAGGATGGCTGGAGATTAACGGTGAGAGGCTGTGTCTCAGGGGAAAAGGTAAGTGATAAAAAGAGCCAAGCTCCTCCAGGCCTCCCTATACAGATGAACACCCCCCCCCACAGAAGCTCACACACCACAAACATATGACTAACTCTTTCATTTGCCCTCTCCCTCATCTCCCACCCTCCCCTTCTCTCTCTCTCTCTCAAACACACACACACACACACAGAACCCTAACCAGTTCCTAGATTCGCAGTTTTACTCTGCTTACGTGGCCATGGGCTCCTGCAGGCCCGACAGCTTTTCTCACTACTTTTCTTGCAGATTGTTTTCTGCTCTCGCTCACAAGCCTCTCAGCCTTGCTTACTGCTGCAAAGACATGAGTTTGTAAGGACAGTAGCTGCCCAGAGACTGACACCTGTAGAGACCTCTGGATCTTCCGTTTGAGCTCAGTTCTAAGAGCGGGCCACTCGGTAATCTCTGCCTGGGCGCCGTAGAGTAACTATTGCTTTTCCGACCTGCCCAGCGTGAGAGTCTCCCTGGCATGTGCCCATTTGATGAGTTTGCTTTCTGTCTTCCAGTTGTGCTTCTGTCCTGCCTTGGCCTGTTGCTGCCCATCCATTTTCCATGCTTTGTTGCAAAATGGACTTTTCCCTCTTTTTCGTCTTTGCTCTGTCTCTTCAGGAACAGAGTTGGCTTCTTCAGTGGCTGCATGGGAATTTTGGTACAAGGCCGGTGGAGAATGGTTATGCTTTCTGTTTGTTTTCCTTTTTAAGAGCCATGTGGGGGCTGGAGAGATAGCGCAGAGGTTAAGAGCACTGACTGCTCTTCCAAAGGTCCTGAGTTCAAGTCCCAGCAACGACATGGTGGCTCACAACCATCTATAATAAGACCTGGTGTCCTCTTCTGGTGTATAGGTGTACACGTAGGCAGAAGGCTGTATACATAATAAGTAAATAAATTTGTAAGTAAAAAAAATAGAGCCAAATGGAACACTGCACCTGGTTCCCCTGTTCTTAACCACCCGGCCCCATCTGTACCAAAACTTCACTTTGCACCATGTAGTTTAAAAGCAGAGCTAAAGAAGTGGAGTCCCTGAAATATGAAAGATCTGAGGAGAAAGTAGAGCCATTAGTCCTTCCAGCTGTTCCCTCCATGGTGGACAGCATGCTGAATCATTCGCTCGGGCTACAGCCTCAGAACGAATGTTTCAGAAGGATTCTCGCTGAGTTGCGGGAAGATGCCGGGCAGCCGAGATGCCATCATAAATTACCCACTGGCTCTGGTTTTAAAGCCCTCTCGCTCATTGGCCGTGCTGGATCATGTGCCGCTGTGCTTGCTCCTGCTCACACCACTGGCTCGCAGGCAAACTGGCTCGCCAACTGGCTGCCCCAGCCTCATCCACCTGTTCTCTACTGAGTGTTGCCTGGGTGCCCACTTCTTCCATGCTGGCTTTTCATTTACACTCTACCTTGCCTTTCCCTCAGACCATGTTACCAGAAGAACAGTCTGAGCAGCAGCCTGTCCAGTTTACACTCGCTTCCCAGGAAATGAGCCTTGAGACCCCTCCTGCAGCGACAGCCCCTCAAGTTCCGCCTGTTCCCAAACCAAGAACATTTCAGCTTGGGAAAGGTGTTGAGAGGAGGCTGAGCAGTGGCAAGCCAGCACTGGATGAAGCTCCTCCCATGACAGGCTCTGTGGAGTTGGCACCTCCAGAGGCCCCGTCCCTGGCTCCCAAGGCGCCCCCACGGAGAAAGAAGTCTGCACCAGCGACCTTCCACCTGCAGGTCTTGCAGAGCAACAGCCAACTTCTCCAGGACCTCACATGTTCCAGCAGCTCTCCCTCCCCACTGCAGCCTGACACCCACCCGCTCTGTCCACAAGCTGGCCTTCTTGGCACTTCATCTGCCATAAGCCCTGAAACTGATGGCCCCAGAGTGACAGAGCCCACAGCAGCCTCTTCTCATGGAGATTATCCAGATCCCTTCTGGAGCCTTCTCCACCACCCTAAGCTGTTGAATAATAACTGGCTGTCCAAGAGCTCTGAGCCTTTAGACTTGGGGTCCAGGAACCCCGAGAGGACACACAGAGACCCAGCTCAGGTCGGCGCATCTGTGGCTGAGAGGGGCCTCCCACCAGACCATGGGGGAAAAGACTTCAGCCACTGGGTGAGAGCCAGTAACAAAGACAAGAGAACAACGTTGGGCGTTTGACCCACTGGCAAGAAGATGACTAGACTCTGAAGATGCTCTCATCCCAAATGTGGGCATTGCTTGACCTGGTCAAGTGGGATGTCAATTTAAAGCTTCACTGAAGCCCTTTGCTTATCTGTCAGTCCTGTGTAGTTTACAAACAGCCTCCCATTCAGTACAGTTATTATCCGTCCAGTCACCAAAATGTTTCACTCAAGTCCTGTGTATTTTAAGCTTGGTCTCAGGAGAATGGGAAATGTGTGGTTGGATTCAGCATACAGAATTTAAAGAAAAATATGGGTGCCCGAGATGCTCTCACCTACTGAATTTTAAACGGTTGTTCAGTTTATGTGTGTATGCCATTTGCTTGTTTTTGTTTCTGATTTACAGGTTTTAGATAAGTGGTAGGCTCATAAGAGATGACATTAAAAGCAGTTGGGACCATTAAGAGCTGTTCTGGCCCACTTTAAACCAGGTTAAGAAAAAAATAAATGAACAGAATTGAAAACAGCAAATAGGTCAGTGGCATGGCTGGGCCATCCATTCCTGTGAGCTCTTTTTGTGGAGTGCCCTTCACAGCTACAGTTCTGTTTCTCCAGGCTCTGCAGAAAGACCTCGTCTGCACCGAGACGTGTCTTCTGTTGTAACAGGTGTAAATTACCTGCAGACAGCTGAACATGTACAGGAGGGTAGGTAGGAACTACACGACTGTGCCATTGGGGACCTGAGCATCTAAGGATTCGGGTACCTCAGGGATCCTGGCCATGATCTCCCACAGATACTCAGGTGACTTACCCCTATGTATTAGCTTTATGTATCATTCCTGTGAAAGCTGTTGACAACACAATTTGGGTGGAGCCGCTGACTTCCGCATGCCCCGTACACCGTCATGGTCTGGAGCTATGGTGTGCTGCTTAAACCCATTAGGAAGCTGATCCAAGACAGCAAGTCTGGGCTTGCTGTTGTCTGTATGTCTGTCAGGTCTGTTGCCTCTCCATTTTCATGCACTTCCAATACTTCTCGTCTCTTCAAGAATTGACAGATTCCATGATGCTGCTTTATATCTTTAAAATGCTGTGAGGTCTAGAATCTACTTGAAGCAGACACCACATTTTTGTATATGAAAAGCTCATTAGCTGAAGAAGACCGAGTTGGGTGGGTCACAAGGTCAAGGCCAGCCTGGGCAACAGAGCAAGATCCCTTTTTTCAGAAAGAAATTCATTGGCAAATCTTATTATGCCAAGGCCACACTTAGGATTCTTTTACACCACAGGCCCATCCAGGAGTATCCAGTGTTGCCCTTACAAGCAATGAATCCTGCAGTGAATCCTGATGCCTGGGACCATCACAGCCATTCATTCCTCATTGCCCACCAGTCTGCTGGGGTTTCATAAATTATTTCACTGTCACATTCAACATATCCTGCAAATTATTTAAATCTGGCATTCAAGAACAAGACTCCATGTATCTACTTTAATCTGAAAACTGATCAGAGAAAAAGGAGCAGCTAACCCCAGAGATAAGCAGGGGCCTGGAGTTAGGGCTCAGCAGTTAAAAGCACTGGCTGCTCTTCTAGAGGACCCAGGTTTGAATCTCAGCACCTACATAGTGGCTCACAACCATGTGTAACTCCAATCCCACAGGACCCAATGTTCTCTTCTGGTCTCTGAGAGCACTGTATGCACAAGGTGTACAGACATATATGCAGTCAAAGAAAATAAAAAATACCAATAAAATAATGGAAAAAAATTAAAGATGACATGTAGATGATCAGGGTGCTTTCTGTGGCCCTTAAGATTGTGTAGTTCACCTCCTGTGTTCGTTCTACAAATAAAACCTTATAGAAAGCATCAGAGAAGAAAGTGAAGTGGCTGCTGGGAGATGCTAAAGGGTTGGCCACAACGTTTCTTCCCAAAAGTGCAGTCAGGAATGGGGGAAACTTAACTTTTAAAAACTCAGATGCCCTCTTCTTATCTATACCTTCTTTTCCCACCACAGAAGAGGTAAATCTGCCAGCAGACAAATGTAGCCCTCCAGTCAGAAGAGGTAAATCTGCCAGCAGACAAATGTAGCCCTCCAGTCAGAAAGGCAGCAGGGAGCTCAGCTCCCAAGATGACCTGGTGTGAGAAGAACTCCAGCGTGTAGTTTTCTTTGCTCTACATAGCAATCGACTGGCACAGAAGCCAGGAGCCCCCTAAGGCGTGCTCATCAGAGCAGCAGCTGCTCCCAGAGTCTAAAAGTGAAGAACCAACACGCAGGACGGTGAGTCAAAAGAAAAAGTGGAGTGTTGAGAACTGAATAAGCCAGGTGGTGGTGGCACATGCCTTTTATCCGGGCCTCCAGAAGAAGAGGCAGGGGGATCTCTGTAAATTCAAGGCCAGCGTGGTCTACATAGTGAGATCCAGTCTCAAGAAAGGTTAAAGAAAAAAAAATAGTTGGGATGGTCTATTTTTTTTTTTTTTTAATCAGTGCTTACGAGGGCATCTTAAGCCAGCTGCAGTTGGTTGATAGTAATGGTTGATAATAATAATGTGGGCACTGAGCAACCGCCACCCTGAAGGCTCCATTTTGCCTTGGGTCTGTTTGTTGCTTTTGGTCTGCCTCAGTTAACATGACTGCCATTGCTTTGAAACAATATGCAGTTTACCACATTGTTTCAGGTAATGCTGACAATTTCACATGGTCTCTGACCTGAGTACAGATTGTTTCAGATTTCCTACACATTAAAATAAATTGTAAAGGTGACTGAAATTAGGAAATGTCAAGAAATTTTTACAAAGATTTAGAGTTGCTAAAGTTTGAGATACTTAAAAAATTCCCTGAGGGAAGTCATATGTTAAAGAATTGGCTTTAGATGGTCATTTTGTTGAGAAGGAAAACTGTGAAAATTATAGCCAGAGATTAGTGACTAATAAAAGTCTGAAGTGTATTTTGAGTTGGTAATTTGTCCTGATGTTGGATGCACTATTAGAATGTTTTTGTCTTTTTAAAATTGAGCTTCTTTTCAGAGCTAAAGAGAACCCTTGGACTTTTTCTATGGCCTTTCTCTACATCAAATGAAATTGCTAGTTTTTACTGTATGATGTTCTGCTTCCTTTTTCCCCCTCTCTTTCTCATCTCCCTTTCTTTCTTACCTCCTTTTTTTCCTCCCTCCTTTCCAACAACTGAACTCAGTTGAAAAAGCTTATTGGCAACATGGGAACTCTGGCTGGAACACAAACACACCTTTAATCCCACCAGACAGATGCAAGCAAATCTGAGTTCAAGGCCAACCTGGTATAGAGCAAGTTTCAAGTAAAGAAAAACTTAGGTCCAGGTGTGGTTGTACATGCCTTTAATCCCAGCACTCAGGAGACAGGGGCGTGCAGATCTTGGAGTTCTACTCAGTGCTGTTTGGGCAGTTTGGTTGAGTCAGTGAGTTGAGAGGCAGGGCAATGGAGTTGAGTTTGTGGCAGTTCAGTTCGTGGAATTCATAGGCAGTTTTAACCGAGTTTTATAGAGAAAGAGTTTTACAGGGAGAGGTTGAAGAGAGAACAAACTAGAAATAGGAGCAAGAACATTTTGCTAGGGTTAGTTTGAGGCCAAGCAGAGCAATTCAGTCAGAGGCTGAGAGAGAAGCCAGACTGAATCAGTTAGCTAGGAGAGGAGTTTGAGCCAGACCAGCTGAGTTGAACCAGCCAGCAACAGTTCAGAAAGAAACTAGAAAGTTGTGCTTATTCAGGAGTAAGTCTCAGAGGCTGAAAACATTCCAGGCCTAGTTTTTTTATGGAGGCTAGAAGCTTCTAGGACTAGCACTAGGTTAGCAGACAGAGGCAGGAAGCTTCTGAGACCACAATTAAATCAGGTGAATAAAAGTTACTTGAACAATGTTATAAGATCTGGGGTGATGGCACACACTTTAAAGAATCCCAGGACTCAGGGAGGCAGATCACTTGAGTTTTGAGGCCAGCCTGGTCTACAAAGCTAGGCGTCCAGGACAGCCAAAGCTACACAGAGAAACCCTTTCTTGAAAAACAAACAAAAAGGTTAAGAACTTGTGGCTTGAGGGCCTAAGAGGTGGCTGAGCAGCCAGAGGAGCTTGCTGCCATGCCTGAAGACTTGAGTTTGATCCCAAGGACTCACATGGTAGAAAGAGCGACATAACTTGTCCTCTGATCTACGCATGCACACAGCAACTAAATGTAAATGTGGGGGGGAGGACACCCTTAGCATTTATCCTGTGAAAGCTGTTATCAGGGACCACGGACACAGCATACACAGGAAACATGTTCCACCATGTGTGATTGCGGAGGCTAGTCTATCTTCTAGAGGCCCTTACAGCAGACTGGGGAATGGATGAACTCTGAGGGTGGTTTACGTGCATTCTTCACGGAAACAGATGCGAATATGTACTCTCCAAATTCTGCCCATGCTTAGTCCAAGCTGTTGGTTCACGGAATAGTTACTAGTTCCCCAAACACTTCTTTGTTTGGGATTATATTGCCATTAGAAGCACATCTTCAGCCAGTGCTGTATTGCTCTGACTGTATCATGTGAAGTCATTTTTCACCTTGGTCTTGTGTATGATAAACCCCACCTACACCTACAAAGTGGCCTTTCTAACCTATAAACAGAGCTAACTGTCTTATCAGAAAACAGCAAGAGCAATTCAGTAGTCCAGATCTTTTCAGTAATTCATTTACTGTAATGACAGATGGCAGCAGAGTTAAAGAAAAGATTTTGGCTCCTGGGTTTAGTCAGTGGTGTGAGACGGGCAAAATGGTAGGATGGGCAAAGCCGTTCACCTCAAGGCAGGGAGGAAGCAGAGACAGGAAAGGACCAGTGCAAGATGGAACTACTATGCCGAGAGCAACAAGGTGTTGCTGCCAACTTTATGCTGTCCATTAGATGGAAAGTGTGTCTGCCTGAGTGGGCGTCTCTGGGGATGACAGATAACTATGGTCATAACTACGGTGATAACTAGGATTCAGTAAGCTCTACACTGGAAAGGTATGCATTTGGGCCTAGCATGCACAAGGTCTTGGGTGTGAGCCCTAGCACCACAAAAACAAAACAAAACAAAACACCCACAATGCTGTTACTCAAATACAAAAAAGGCCATCAGCCTTTAGAAGGGTACACAAAGAAAAGTGAGTCTTAGCTAAGTGGTTAGCTTATCTGCCAGATGCAAATAGTTTTTTCCATATCCAGAGCACATTACTGTATAACTAGTTAAAATATTCTAAAAAAAAAAATATATATATATATACACACACACACACACACTATTCTCAACAACATTTAAAAAAAAAAAACAGAAGCATATAAGACTGACCCTAGCATACCACTGGGTACGTGATACCCAGTGAGAAAGTGTCAAATGTGTAGCTGACATATTAACGGTTAAAAACTGACACTAAAACATGACAGCATCTTCTAGTTTGTTCTCTCCAGATGGCATTTTCTGTGGTGTGTTAAGTTGCCGGTTGGGACTCTTGGGTAAGCTGGGACAGTCTCAAGTGGACAGGCATTCTGGCCACAAGCAACTTGGCTCCCCACCCCAAGGCCCAGCACGAAAGTTTCTTGTAACCCTTCCTCTGTGACCTCCATGTCTATGTGGGCGTTTCCCAGTGCTTGCCTGAAGAGCTGCATTTCTGCTGTCTGCGCCACACTTGCAGAACAGGCTGAAGCCACAGTGAGTGCACAGGACTGCATACAGCTTAGAGAAGGCGAGTGCTGCATTTCTTGCACTGTATTCACATAAGAATGGAAAGAAGGTAGCTGTCAGTTTTCAAGATCTCTGGCTAAAGTTTCACAGATGAACTGTAGGGTACGTTGGTACAAAAAAGCATCCTTTGTCTTCGGCTTGCAAATGTTCAAGTGGTTGACATCCACAGGAATTAGATCCCCAATGCCTAAATCTGAAGAAAGCAGAAGTGTCAGTAAAGCCAAGGGATGCCAAGCTCACCCGCGCAGAACTTTGACATGTGTGAAAATGGATGCCCCATAGCGTAAGTCTCAGTTTCTGAGAACCTGAGCACGGGCATTGTAGAGACTTCCCTGTACCTGTAGGCTAATAAAAATCTCCTACTGCTCTTCTAAGAATGGCAATGCCCCACATGGGCAGGGTGTATGGTAGGTAGGGGGTTGAGTGTGAAGGCAGGAGTTAGGTAGTCTGACAAGTCTATGTGATGCAGGTAGATGCCAGTGAGTCTGCCACTGAATGAGGGATGAGGGGAGCAGGTAAAAGAGGGCAGTCAGAATTGCTGTAGCACAGCTACGATGCTGCAGGCAGCTGGGCAGGAGCCTGGCTGTGCTGTTGCTTTAAGAATGGAACCCTTCGAGGAGCCCTGGGATTCGGCAGGAGGTCTACCCAGCTGTGTGGCATATAGTGAAAGGAGGACCCAGGGCGTCATACACACTAGGAATCATCACTAAGGCAAGCACACTGTCCCTGGCCACTAAGCACTTGCCACGGGCTCTGAGCTACCAGGACAGGACCTAAGCCAGCTGAGCTCAGAAAGCTGGGGCAGGCACACCAGACAGGGAGACGTATGGGACAGCACGGAGCTCGCATGTAGGGGCTGCACGATCACACCAGGCATGGCTATTTCCCTCCACTTGGATTTTAACACTAGTTTTCTTCCCCAAACCTCTATCTCGACATTTTGTGAGTGGGTTTAAGGTTTCGATGCACCTATCGTTTGCTGACTACATGGCCCCTTATTGTAGCTCACAGAAGTGCTTGCTAGTCTCCTCAACACAGGTGCACTGTTTGGGCCTTAAAGCTAGCTAACGAGCCATTGTCACCTAACGTATTATTATATAAAGACAAGAGGCTAATGCCAAGGCTGTGTGCTTGCAGGGGGATATGAATCTGTTACTTTTTCTCCTATTCTTCCCCTAAGACACTGGCTATCAACAGCTGTTAATGCCAGGTCCCATTAACTAGGCATCGAACAGCCACCATGCCTCAAGAGTGAGTACCTGCTGACTCCACGGGCACTATATGCAGTTTAATCATGCTGCCGATATACGTTGGTTGTGTTTCTACAAAATTCAGCACCTGGAAGTTTTTGTCTTTTGCAAACTCCAGAAAATCATCCTGTAGCATCTTAAGTGCAGGGGAATCTAAAAGCAGAGAACAAGACAAGCTCTGTTCACTCATTCAGGATAAAAAGCATTCATGTTTTAACTCAGAGCGGATATTAAGTTCCAATTCATGACAGGCTCAGGTAGGAGAGCTGGCTCAGCAGGTAAAGTGTTTGTTTGCACGTCAAACCTGAAAACATGAGGTTTTTGGTTAATTGGATCATTTAAGGTAGGAAGACCCACCTTACATCCAGATCCCTTGAGAACCCACCTTTAATCTGATCCACACCTCCTAGTGACAGCCTAAAGGACAAGGAGAAGAGAAGTATTTGCTCTTAACCTGCTGGCCCTTATTCACTGGCACTAGAGTCTATGTTTTGGGATTCTGACATACTGAAGAGCAGCTGAGACATCCACCCTCGTGGACTCAACAACTACTGCAGTCTCGACCTTCCATTAGGAGACAGCCATTGTAAGGCTAGACAGACCACAGCCTGGAAGCCATTCTAATAAATCCGTATATGAGGAGGACCTGTTTGGATCCCTAGAACCAGTGTAGAAAGCCAGGTGTGCATACACAGCTGTAATCCTAGCGTGTGTGTGTGTGTGTATGTGTGTGTAGGGCAAGAACAGGAAAAAAAAGACATCAAAAGTCTCAGTTACACTACTTGTGGGAAACACAGGAAATCTACAGAGCACTCTAAGAAGATAGCAGACTACAATGCAAAAAGACAGGAATAACCAAACAAGGAAATGATGTTGGGCTCTCAGAACACAAAACCTGAAGATCACGCCAAGATGGCTGAGAAGCAGTATGGGTCACAAGGAAGCACCTGAGACCTGGAAAAGGGTCATCTGACCCCAGAGCTCTGCATCTCTGCTTACCATCACTTTAAGCCCAAGTTATCCTATGGGATCTAGGAAAGATCTCTTGGGTTCTATACCCTCAAGTCTATGTTGAGTGCATCCCAGCATTACCTGTACTCATCCTCAGGACCTTCATAAAACTAGAAGGGATGAATACTACTCTAAACACACAAGCATCAACAAAGGGACACATTACTAAGGGAAGCAAAATGACAAGGGAAATAGTAATTCTCCAGCAACAGATTTGCAGGAAATCTATGAAATGACTTATAGAAGAACTAAAAATAGCCTAAGGAAACTTAAGAGAATAAAGATAAACATTAAAGAGATAGATCAGCAGTTGAGAACGTGCCCTTATAGAAAAGAAACTGATTTCCAGAACCCTTATCCCATAACTTCAGCTCCCAGGGATCAGACACCTCTGGCTTCTGAGAGCCCTTGTACTCATGTGTGAGGAACACATGTATACGAATACATACAATACAAAAACAATTCAGAATATAAATGAGAAACTGACCAATGGCAGAAATAAAAGAACCAGTCAGAACTTGAAACTCAAAAATAACAAGAGTTTCTGTAATGAATTAGAATGAGAAAAAAAGAACCAGTCACTGAGCCTGATGACATAACTCAGTCAAACAAGGAAGGAAAAGAGGGGAGGTAAAAAAAGATTCTGAAGTAGCTGATTCATAAAAAGGCACAGATGTCCATGTAGGAGAGCTTAGAGGCCCCCCAGAGATACTCACTGAGTAAACTGGAATGACATATGCAAATTACAGAAAGAAGGAACTGCCAACCAAGAATATGATATCCAGCAAAATTATCCTTTAAAAGTGAAAAAACAGTCTTTCCCAGATCAGTAGACATAGGAGACTCATCACCACCAGCGTACAATAGAAAGAAAAGCCAGCCATCACCCAAGCACACAAACGAACATATATGTTCACCAAAAGAACCAAGACTCAAACCTTACCAAACCATTCAAACAGGTGGAAAGGAATACAATTAATACAGTTCTTAATAACCCTACAGATGAATGAATTATACATTCTACCCACAAGACAGACATGATGATGTGCTGTCTACAAGAAACAAACTTCACTTGTATGGATGGACAGCTGTACAGATGAATTGTGCTTTACATCAGAAACAGTGAAAAGAGGCAAAGCTACACATAGATGGATCAGCAAGAATATGTGATAACTGTAAACATGTATGCATCTAACACGGAACCACCCAATCATGTAGAGTACATATTAGATCAAGAGAGACAGATTAATACAGTGACAGAGGGTGAAAGCCAGACCCCACTTTCCACTATGCTAAGACTGTCCAGAGAGAAGAAGCTGAAGCACTCGATACACAGTTACTGGGCCTGAGATGAATTCTTAGACCACTCCGTCCAAAGCAACAAAGCATTAGTCATATGTTGGGCTACAAATCAAGTGTCAATGACAAAAAAAAAAAAGCTAACATGCTGGCTCAGGAGTTCATGTATGTTTTGCCAGTTGACGAGTCTCCAAAGGAGGGGAAAAGGCAGTTTACTAACCTGGAAGAACAGTCATACGTCCTGGTTTAAACAGTTGAGATAACACAGCATTATGGCTACAATAGAGTAGAAAATCACCTAAGAACAAAAGAGCTACTGAAAAATCGAGCCAACCCAAAAGCTTTCCATGGATGATCTAAATTATCTGCAAGTTTAAAAACAAGACTGTTTAAGGAAGAAACTGGCTACTTTCTCCCTCCTCCCACATATATAATGTTGTATAACCTCAGCTTTGTTCACAACAGAAAGCATTACCCTTGCTGAGCTCTTTGACTTCCACAGAGGGAAAGAGAAGATATCGAACATTAATGGAGTACTCGGCCAGGTGTGACCCGTGGTGAGGGACGCTGTAAAAGATGATGCCTCTGGTATTGTTTACAATTGCGCTCAGTTCCGGCTGCTTCGAGGCTTCTAACAGCATCTTCTTGACAAGAAGACCTAGCCACAGGGAAGAGAGAGAAGAGTGAGTAAAGTTGCCTCTCTCCTCTATTACCTGTTCAAAAAAAGGACAAGCAAACAAGACAGATGCTTTAAAATTTAAACAATTTTTTTCCAGAATAAGAAAAAGCCTTTCCAATGACAGCACCACTGTGGAATGTCTCAGCACGAGTCTTTGTGGTGCAGGCCTTTCTCCCAGAGATTTCACTGCCTCCATGAGCCAGGCCAGGCCCTGCCTGAGCCAGGTGTCGGGTCACTAACGCCTACACCCAGAGTCGCAGGTCCCACCAAGGAAGGTCAGCTGCTATGGGAAAGGTCTCCAAGAGCACCTAACCACGCCCCCTAGCCAGGTAACATGAAGGCACCATGGATGACAGCAGTGGGTTTTGGAGCAGCAAAAGGGCTACATCCACCTTTCTCAGCAATGGGCTGTGGCTGAGGCTCAGCCTAAGTCACACTTAATCAGACACCTAGCCTGGGGCTGGGCCAGGACCTTAAGCTAGGCATATGGAGAGAGCTGAGAGGTGCTTTGGGGGAAGGCCTGGAGAAGTAACGCATGAGCTGGAGTAAGGCCAGGCCCCAAGCACAGCATCCAGACAAAGCAGAGCCGTGACCTCGCCTCAGCAGCACAGGCAACAACACTTGGCAACATGAACAGGCACGGGTGGGAAGAAAGGGAAGGGCTGAGGCCCGTGGCAACGCTGGCTTACCTGAGCCTAGCGCCAGGCCTCCCCCGGGGTGACGCTGACCCACAAAGTTATCAACCCCTGCTCTCCCACCCAATCTTTACAGTTGCCCCTTCTAGACGAGCAAACAGCACAGGGGGAGAGTAGTCACTTTAACACACTCAGCTAAAGCGTTAACTCAGTGCGAGGAAACCAAAACAGAGCAGAACTCTCAGTTGGCCACAACCCTGACAGCCACCTCATGATGGTCACTCTATGATCATCCTTACCTCCCATGCTATGTGAAATCCAAATCATTGGCCTATCCCCAACACCAGCCGCTCTGAGCTTGCTGAGAAGTTCGTTGCTTCTGAATGCAATGGACTTTCTGAACAAAATGAAAACAGCAAGCATGACGGGAGGCATCCATCCCCAAATCTTACTACTGAAGAACATCTGCTTGTTCAATGCTATTGGCTCACATTCTAATGTGCAGGCTCCTCCAATCTTATTCTTTATCTGAAACTTAGTAATGCTAACATAGTTAGGACTCTCTCAGCCCACGACAGGCCACTCATACACTGGACAAGCATTATTTGAATATCAAATGGATTTGGCAATTTGTACATGTCAAACATGGGTCTCATCCCTGCCCTGACTGAATTATCTGAGTTTACTTCTCCTTGTGTTTATGCTACAGACATTAAGCTTTCCTCATTTGGATTTAAGAAAAATACTAGTAAATGATCATCAGAGTTCAAAAAAGTGATGTCAGACCAAAAGGGAACTTAACTTCATGGTAGCAGCCTGCTTGTCTCGCACTGCTCAAAAGTGATACTTTTTTTGAGAATAAAGGTTCCCCAGTGCTGCTCTGGGAGACAGCGGGCGGGCTGGGTGCCAGCTTGCCCTCTGTGGGCACGCTGCTGGACACCTGTGTGGAGCTGCTCATCAAGTACCGACTACATCAGCTCTGTGAGCAAAGCTTCCTGGACACTGGATGCCTCACCTACACTGCACAGTGAGCCAAAGGTGGGACTAGACTACTGGCCAGGTCCTGGAGACCAGGAAGGAGGGGACACGAGTCAAAACGGCTCAGCATCTTTTTCCTTGAGCTTCCCTTAGCCAGCAGGATTGTGAATCCACAAGCAACCCTCACTTTTCCTTACAGCAGAAGTGAAGGCTTTGATGGAGATCTGTGTTTCCTGCTGTGATGTGAGGTGTGCCAGGAGACCTACACGATGTTGTCTTCTGCTATTACTTTCTACTACTTATCACGTACCACAAGCTAACGCCTCCCAGAAGGACGATGACAAAGGTAGCAGACTGAGGGATTTGCCTAACATGTACAAGACTTAGGCTTGTTCCCCAACACTTCAAAAGTTGACTTCCCACAGCAGAGAATCCACGTGCGGCCTGAGTCGTTCCCGCCCTCCCAGTCTACCGAAGCCTCCACTGTTACCTTTCCATGGGACATCTAGCTCTCCAGTCACTGAGGTTGGTGTCATACTCCACAGATATGATGCGAAGCGCAGGACAGTCTTTTGCTAGCCATGTCTAAGTAAAACAGAAGGTTCAGAAGATAAGCATGTCATCTCCCCAGCCAGCTCCTTCCTACAAAGGCCTCCTGAATTAGACCCCACAGACTGGAATACAGTTGGGAGGTGATGATAAAAATAAGTATTTTATCTCGCTACATCTCTGGTCACAAGTGCTATCAATATTTACAACAAAGGCCAAGGAAGGGTGTGGAAACATTATCAGTTTTAATCTGCAATTGCCCAAATCAAGACTCATCTTGGAGGCTTTCAGCACTTAGTAGGCCTTCAGCACTTGGTTATCTCAGGACACACTGTATTTCTGCTGGAATATACTGAGACCAGAGAATTGGAAACTAATGACATCTGCAGGTTGTCTCTGAGAACTGAGGCTGACATCTCCAGACTTCGACATCACTGGGGAGAAAAGCATACTATTCATTCTGAAGTTAAGTGGGAAGGGGGCAAAGCCCCCAAAACTACTCACACACAGGCAGCACTATCCTGCCTGGACTGAATAAATTTCATCCTATGAATTCACACCAGAGTTGAGCCTCTTTGGAAGAAATAATATCAAATGCAAAGGAGGACACTACATCACCCAGGTTTTTCTATCTTTATAATTGTTGAGGTCATAAAATTCACTATTGCAAGTAAATCAGGGCTGTTTTATTTTTAAGGTATGCATCAACAGGGTGAATGATTACCCTACTTTTTAACTCATGGAGTATTACTCTAGAGCCACAGAATATACCCTGAACTGAAAGCGCAGGATCACAAGCCCGGCTCATGATGTAGCATCCTAAGTGTCTCCAACCCCAGTGGCACAAGGCAAGGAAGTCAGTCACAGTGCACGGGCAGCAGTGGTAGCGGCGACATGTGGGTGGCAGTCCCAGCTGCTGCCCCTTACCTTAGGCCAGCATGTAGTGTACCTGTCTTCACCCACCAAGGCATTTTCTGTCAGAACTCGCTCGCTATCCTGCTGGCGCCAGGTTTTAAACGCTGCTCCCATAAGGCCATGAATAAAAAGGACATCGGCTTTAATGGGCTGACTAAGAGGGAAGAGAGTTTTAAAAAGAAGCAGAACAAATGCATTACTACTGTGGCAAGCTACACGGCATTCTCTCCGGAGGGCTTTAGCAGGCTGAGGTGACATAAAGGAGACTAATTAGGGCAAGCTTTATCAATGTGGGCTTGCTTGGGGACCCTGGGAATCGGGACAAAGACACAGAGCAATCCACTGCTCCTCAGTGAAAACAATACAGTTAGCCAGGCAGACCAACCACAGAGACTATAACGAACTCCATGATTCATCAGATGGGTGATGCCACCCTGAGATTACTCTCTAAGTCAGTCTAGAATACCTTCCACAAACCAATGAAGGTACCTAAGAGATTAGACAAGAATATGCTAATAGAACAGCAAAGTCACTGCACGTGAGAAATGTCAGAAGGACCTCCCAAGGTCATGCAGTGGCTTCATGGGGAAACCTGACAACACACCTCATTCCAGGATTGGAAGGAAACTTCCTGGCTCAGCCAGAAAGACACACACAAGAGTAGATCACCCAGTACCTTGACCTCCCTCACATTTTCAGAACAGGAGGGACAATCCTGAGTCCTGATGGGGAGAATCAGCCTCAGGGAGAGAGGCAAAAGGGCTGCTCCCATAGGGCAGCATGTAAATCTGATTCAAACTCAGATGCCACCAGTCATGCTCACGGAGGAGAGCGGAAAAAAAGACACTGAAATGGGAAAGAGATTCACAGAACAGGAAAACATCTTCAAAAAAACTATCATTTTATATAGCAGCTGGTTTAATGTTTAGTATTGACATTAATTCAAATTGTAAGAAATGGGAACCATTTGACATTCCAAAGTTCATGTGTATTTGCATACATGGCACTAAAATTGCTATGTAGTAGAACTAAAAATTATATGTGAAACTTAACTAAATTAATGATAAAATTGCTAATCTATTATTAAACTAATGAATGTATAGGAAACTATTCTTTAAAAGATATTAAAAATAATTAAAATTTTAGAGGTTGTATCAAAATCATAGATGAAGTCTAAAGAATGTAAGTTTTCTTACCCCCTCCTCTGATCTTGCCTTTTCTTCCTTATCATTCCTCACCTTCCAGTGACCCCCATGTGGAACACAAGATGAACTAAAAAAGAATGACCCCGGCACTGCCTAGACTCCCTGGATAAAAGCTATATTAAAGACTGTGACATAAGGTTTCAGGACCCCGAGTTTTCACCATTACTGATCACTCCACGGACCTACACGGTGTTCTGACTTGACATCTTTATGAGCAAGGAGTCCCCTCCACCCTTACAGTGGACAGAGATGTTAGCCCAGGCCCGGGTATGAAGTCACCTGTTGGCCACTCTCTTTCTCCAGGCTCCTCTTACATTTCAGAGACACAGCGATGACATTTCTCATTTCTACCTTGTTTTCACTGGCTGTAGTCTGGTTTACTGTCATTGTGTTATAACTGTTTTGTCTGTTTTGTTTTGTTTTCCAGACAGGGTTTCTCTGTGTAGCCATGGCTATCCTGGAACTCGCTCCGTAGGTCAGGCTGTGCTCAAACTCAGAGATCCACCTGCCTCTGCCTCCCAAGTGCCGGGATTAAAGGCGTTCACGAACACCATTATCCAGCTAAGAAAATGTTTTCTAAACCCAAAACTTTTATAAAGAAGAATAAGGCAGAAAGGAACCATCAAGTATGAGGAAAAAAAGCATAAAATGTTAAAATAATTTTCAGTTAATATAAGGCTGTCATCAATGGAAATGCTTTGTAAGATTCTGTCCTAAAGGGTTTTTCCAAAAGAGAAAGGAAAAAGGACAGACCTGGCAAATGAGAGTGCGACCTAAGATGACCTAAGATGAGTAATGGCTAAAGAGCGCCTGTGTGTGGCCACACTTCCTATAGTTAAAGGCTAGTACCATCCTGTGGGCACAGAACCAAAACTCAGGTTTCCATTTACAGGAATAAAACTCCACATTTACAAAAAGACAAAGGTGGCTGAGGGAACACAGCTTCTGTTTCATTCCTCAGTCAATGTACCTGTTAAAACCTGATGGTTTAACTGGTTTCTTTGTTGTGCTTTTTCCTCTTTCACTTATAAAAACACCAAATAGGAACCAAAACTCCCACCATACACCTCTATGGTGCTTGTCTTTGCTCAGCATCTTTCCTCTTTTTCTTGCTCTTCTGAAGGCTTTAAAGAACAAATGAGGGTTTTGTTTTTGATTTTTATAGAAATGTTTTTAAAAGAGTGAAGAAAAAAAATGATGATTTGATTTGATTTGATTCAAATGCCTCCAAATGAGCCCTTAATGTTTCCACCAACCAAAAGCTAGCATGTTACCAGGTAACACTGAAACCTATTCCAATTTTTCCCTGGTTTGCTATCTCCCACTTATCTGAAGCTCCTATCACAGTATTTGGTAAATATATTTACTCATGATTTTCTTCATGTTCTATGACTACAGAATTAGACTTTGGAGCAAGTCAGCCCAGGTAACCTGAAGCCTGAACCATGATCACTCAGCTCAGAATAAACTCTTACTCCTTTTGGAGTGACAGCTGGGATTGCACTGGTCATTGTAACTTTGTTTTTCGAGACAGGGTTTCTCTGTGTAATAGCCCTGGACTCCCTTTGTAGACCAGGCTGGTCTCGAAATTAGAGAGATCTACCTGCCTCTGCCTCACTATAACATTTTATGTGCTAGTTAGACTGAACCAATAAATTCCTATTTTTGCAGAGGTTTTTTTTTTTTTTTTTTTTTTTTTTTAAGGGTCTTCTGAAAGAGGACCTTGGTTGGATGCCAGAGCCCTGAGCCTCTGAATTTATCAGGGTCTCCTGTCATGTGGCTGATTTTTCATTTTGGATCCTCCAGGACAAAGCCCTGTCCCTGTCCCTAGGACCATACTTCCTTCTTAATCCTGCTTCGCTCCCACCTGAAGGGTGGAATGGAGCTCCCTCAGAAAGGGGTGCTGCGGGGCAGGTGCCCTAAGCTGATGGTCACGGGAGCAGAGCTCTGATAGTCCTTTATCCTCCCAAACTTGGGAGACGGGGACAGGGGGAGGGGCAATCAGACTGCAGGCCCTCGTGGAGATGGAGGAACCCTCTGCTATTTCCAATTCCCTGTGAGGACAGACTTGGAGTCAAAGAAATACTGCACATTCCCAGGTTGACTTAAGAAATGCCAGAGGTGGAGGAGATCTGTGGGCACGGAGGCCCTCAGTTGGTCTGTCCCTGGGGCTCTCCAAGCTGTCCCTTCATCCTCATCAAGCTGTGGGAAGGGTCCGGGCTGCGATGACTGGGTGGCTAGTTTGTGTGGACCCTTCCTTTCACAGCTTTTCCCTAGTCCTGGGCACACACCCAGGCTGGAGACAGGGAGAACAGAAGAGGAACGACCAGCCTGGAGAGATGGGTATGTGCTATGGGTTTTATCTTGGATCTCCTTTTTGGAGCTCTTTCCCTCTCTAACACTTACATATAAAATCACTTTCCAGTTACAAACAAAGAAAAACCAAACCAAACCCCCCAGTGACTGTTAAGTCCAGGTGCTGCTCACCCTGTCCGGCATTGGGGGTGCAGAACGTACACCCCATCCTGGTACTTCTCGCTCACGGTTTCTCGGTCTAGATTAGCCAGGGTTCTGGCAGCATGAGAGGCTTCCATAATGTGGTAGGATTTCAAAGCTTCTGCCATTATAGAAACCCAGCCTGAGGGAAAGAACAGATACCCTAAATACTCATGCAAACTGATCTCGACCGTAGAGACACTCCAGGTGGGAAGAGGAGAGAGGAAGGCCAGCCTCAAGTGTCTGTCTCGGGTGAGGAAGCCCACACACTCCAGCTTGATTCTGTCATCAATGAGTCCCATAGCACTACGCTGTGATATCCCAAGGGCAGCCTTCTGAGAGGCTGTTAAGTGTGCAAGAGGCCTCTTCCTACCCAGAAAGTAAACACACACAGTGATTAATGCAGGAGAGCTCAAAAGAGGACAAAATGCCATGATGCTCTGCTTAAAGGACTCCAAGAATCCCAAGAATCAGGTGCTGATTTGAATACCTGTGGTCACATCAACAACCCTGACTACAACAAGGAAGCTCTTTCTTAATGAATTTGATGAACTCCTTATCAGACCTAGAGTTCAAAAGGGAAAAATATTTTTTATTTCTAAAAAATATATATTTTAAAAAGAAACAGAGGATGTATGGATAAAAGTATGATTTTATACACATTATGAAAGTGCACGCATGCACACACAGGAACATTCAAAGATCCGAAAGACACAGGCCACCAAACTCATCAGTGGTCGCTAGCTCTCAGGAGGCAGGTGAGTGTGTGTGAGAGCGGTCCGGAGAAACGGTGGGTTCAACTGTGAAACGAGTCAGTTCTACACTGGCTCTCTTTTCTCTCTACCTCTGCTTCTTGGTTAACTAAAATCACATCAACAATTTAACAATCTCAGGTCAAAGCCAGCTCTTGTAGATGGTTCCACATGCTAACTCCTTAGTGTACAATACGGACGACCCTGTTGTAAAGGACCTAAGAAAACCCTAGGTAGAGTTCTAAGTCTTTGAAAAATAACATAGCATGAGGTGAGGCCGTGCGAGGACAGAAGCTGGGCCTGGCACACTCAGCACACATGCACAAAGCCTTTACCTGACTGGACGATAGCAGAGTGAAGATGGTCATTCAAGGCCATGTTTCCAATGATCCTCATGATGTTTCTCTGCACTTTGGGGCAGTCCTTGTGGAGCTGGTAGAGCCTCTGCAGCAGCTGCAGGCCCCCGCCTGCTTCAATGTGGTCACAGTGGGAGGGTATCTAACACAATTAACAGAGCTCCTGTTATATCGCACAGCTCCCCTCACACCTCAGAAGCGCCGTGATGCTGCGGTCCCTCTCATTTCTGCTTCGTTTCCATACCACAGGTGGGCGCCAACAGTGACTAAACACAGCCGTGCCCTTCACTCAGGCAAAAGTGCTTCAGACCTCGAGGACAGTGCTTGCGCAGCTGCGGGGGAGGATGCCAGCTGCAGATGCAAACTCCTTCATGCCACACCAGACCTGCTTGCTTTAGGTCGTCACAGGCAACTGGACTCTGCCTAATATGCCTTCCGGTGGTGCTTATATTTCACGTGTGGGTAGCACTAGCCTTTTGGCCTTTTTTTTTTTTTTTTTTTTTAAATAAAACTATAGTTGGGCATGGTGGCATACAGCTACACAGGGATACACAGCAAGAGCTTGTCTAATAAATGAATAAGCAAACTGTGACCACCACAGGAAAGACTCCACAATGCCAAAATGCCTAGAAATTATCAGTACTTATAACTCAGGTGCACAGCCATCTAATATTTCCCTTTTCCCTCTATCCTTCCTACTACATTTTTGGACAGGTATCTTTTTTTTTTCTTTAAGAGTTATTTATTATGTATACAGTGTTCTGCCTGCATGTACACCTACACACCAGAAGAGGGCACCAGATCTCACTATAGATGGTTGTGAACCACCATGTGTTGCTGGGAATTGAACTCAGGTCCTCTGGAAGAGCAAGCAGTGTTCTTAACCACTGAGCAATCTCTCCAGCTCCTTGACAGGTATCTTAATGGAAGCTAATGATCTTCTATGTGTAAAATGATCTGGGGAAAGGAGAAGACAGCACAAATCAAAGACAAATCTCACACTTGGAGTATGCTTGCTCCCTTTATATGTGATTAAGAATTACTTAAAATGTATAATAAGGGACTAGAGATATGGCTCAGTGATTAAGAGCACTGAATGCTGCTCCTACTGAGGACCCAGGTTCAATTCCCAGCATCTACATGGTGCCTTATCATTGTAACTCCAGTTCCAAGGAATCTAATGCCCTCTTCTCTCTTCCGAGGGCACGAGGTATGCACACACACAAGGACGTACATGCAGGCAAACACCCATAAACAAAAATAATATACTAAAATTAAAAAACATTTTAAAATACTAAAATTTAAAGATTAAATATGTAATAAAAATAAAACTTATGTATTGGTACACACCATGCTTATTAATTCTAACAGTTAAAAGTGAACTTTAAAATATACTATTTTTATTAATTTGAGAATTTCATACCTGTGGACAATGTATTTTGATCATATTCACTATTTACCCCTCCCATAACTCCTGCAAGATGTTCCCCCACACCCTACCCTCTACCAAATTTGTATCCAAGATGTAAGAAAAGGCATATTCTGGAATTTAAGTTACCTCCGAATGCTTTACTATAGCTTCTAAACAGAACATCTCCACTGTGGCTGAGGGAACTTCTCCAAAGCTTTCCGCGTAAGGAAGTCCATTTCCTCCAAAACACCATAGTCCTCCCTGAAGTTAAGACAAAGATTTTTTCACAAACTCGGCTTCTTGTTAACAAGCTGTGTACTATACACAAATTAGAAATTTCAAGTATGTAAATGTCTCAAATACTTTGGAAACGTAAAGGGAATGTTATGCAAACTTCTATTGCTTGTTAGAATAGAAAACACATCAGGTGATGCCCAGAATTCTGACATCTTTCCTTCTACATACTTTCATAGCAAAGTCAATCCTTTATCAACTGGTCAAAGTGTTCTGGTGCGTCTCCTTCAGCATTTACTAATTCATAAAGATTATGGTAACACAGTCAACTGAAAGCCTAAATAAATTTTTAAAGGCGAAAGCATTACCAAACAACACCATTCAAAACAGGATGGCTTTTGCTTCTTCCCAGTCAAAAGTGAAGCTCACGTGGGAGACTAAATACAGTCGGGGATGGGAGAGATGGCTCAGTGGGTAGAGCGCTGGTTGCACAAGTGTGAAGAACTGAGCTCAGAACCCAGCACCCACAGGAGACAGCTAAGTGGTGCACGGCTGTGACCCAGTTCTCAGTAAGGGAGGGGACACCCCCAGCCAGTTGGCCAGCCAGTCTAGCTGAAATGGCAAGCTGCAGATTCAAAGAGACCCTGTCTCAAAATAGAAATAGCTGAAGATGGCTAATATTGACCCCTGTCCTGGAGAGAGAACAAGAAGCCTAAAAGGGGAATACGGCCGAGGAACAGAGAGTCCTGCAGGCTCCTGACCCTTCAGTGTAGAAGATGCCTTCTGAGGTCTCCACTGAATGCAAGGACCTGAAATGCCCTTTTAAAAAGAGTACGGGAAAAACTGTCATAAGGGTTAAGAAGACGACAGACTGGAGTGGAGAAGCTGAGAGAAGAGAATCCTACAGACAGCCTCTGTTCTGCATTCTGCTTAGTGTAAAACGCTGGCTCCAGATGTCAGTGTGAAACCTCAATTTAAAACCAACAAAATATCTTAACCAACAGACTATCAGATCAACCATGGTCCTTGAGCAGTCTCAAACAGGAGCTGGACATGAGGCAGCCAAGCAGCAGCTGTTTCTTGGCAACTGTGCTCCTGCTGTTCGGAAAGCCCATTTGTGGTTGAATGTTCTTGGAGTTACAGACAGGCTCTTCCGGCAGTATCAAGAACTGGGGCACCAGGGCATTTCCCCACCCATGTGCATACACGGGGTCTGCAGCCTCCTCTCTAGCTTTTCTAGAGGATCACGGGAATAAATCCATAAAAGAAAGACCTTATCCACCACGATGTAGAGGGGGAAGGGCTACTTTACCCCATGAATACGCCACCGACCTCCTGAATCATAAAAACTTCTTAAAATCCACAGCACAGAGCCCACTGTACTATGACTACCTCTGCCTATTCCAAACTGTGTCTGTGTGTCTTTCTGTCTCTGTCTTCGCTTACTTAATTTTTGCTTATTTCATGTGTCCCTCCATGAAATTCCTTCAAGAGGGAAATCACCAACAGACATTCAAGGAGAAAGAAAACAAAACTTGCTCTGTGGGAGCAAATCTATCATTCGTGGTTGCTCGGAACTCTCTAGAAAACAGTCAGTTTATCCGGAAGTCCAAAGGTGTAGCGGTGACAACATAAACAAGGGAAAGCCGGCTCCAGCACACACGGGAGCTAACACAAGGACCTGGAAGGGATCTTCAAATTGCTGAGGAAGTGGGTGGAGGAGCAGAAGCCAACACCACAGAGATGTGCAAGCCCCACAGCGACACCGGCAGCTGCTGACGGCCAACACATGTGAAAGACTGAGCGTGACGGGGCGGACGCTGTGCCATTCCCTGAGATGAAGACAGGAGGGTAAAGGCCGTATCAAGGGAGGGTAGGTTTAATCCGCTACATTCCGGATTCTTGCTGTACGCCAAGGAGAGGAGGCTGAATAATCAATCTGGGGTCAGGTCAGAACACAGGCCTAGACGTAGCCAATCAAATGCTGAGGATCAACTTTAGGTGTAGAAAATGCTGGCCATGTACTCCATCACTGCGCTGCACCCCAGTCCTGACTGTCTGAAGGGGTCATACAGAGTTTGCTCCTGCAAAGCTATAACAGCGCTCACAAGGTGAGCTGACTCCTGCAACCTGGATCTCTCTCACCCACATCCACGTTTACACCTCTAGGATTTCCCACACTATGCAGCCCAGCACACAGTCCAGTCTGTAACTGGGCAAATGAAGGAGGTTCCAAATGCTAGCCCCAGCATAGTGTCTCGGGAAAGAGCGAACTCTCAGACCATTTGCTAAATAAGACATGAGCAAACCTTCTGTGCGGCCAGGCTCTGGCTGCTTTCACTCAGAGCCAAGGACGTAAAATACTGGAGACACTCATCAAGCTCTGTCTGAGGTAAAGAGGCCAACAGATGCCTGAGTTCCTCCTCAGTGGAGGAGTCCTGAAATAAAAAGCAAAGAAAGTCTTAGAGAGACACTCAACAACTGAGCACAATACAAAGAACACCCGAAGAGTCAGGCCAAGGTAGACACATAAGGAAGGAAGGAGGATGAGCAGCGGTTGTGACCTGGAATGTACTCACCCACCACAGTGGAGGTACAGAGTCATTTAATTTTAGTTCTATGTTTCCAAGCCTGCTGACACATTTAAAGACTCATTACAGGGACCCGAGTGATGGTTCAGTTTAAGAGCACTGGCTGCTTCTGCAGAAGATGTAGGTCTGGCTCCCGGCAGCCACGTGATGGCTCCCAACCATCTGTGACTCCAGTTCCCATCTTCCGGTGCCCAGCATGCACGCGGTGTATGTAGATACACGCAGGCCCTGCACATACTCATCAGATAAAATCTTAAAATCACACGGGGAAGAAAAGACCGTTGCAAACTGTAACTCAGTGTTTACCTTAGGACTTTTTAATAGCTGACTCAAAATGAACTATACCCTTACTAACTAAAGATATCACTAAGTCTGGAGTATGTGAATATTTCATTTTTCATGATAGTTAATACGTTATGTATTCAATTTCTATTTTTCTTTTTTTAAACTTTTTTGATTTATTTATTTATTATTTATACAGTATTCTGCCTGCATTGTGTGCCTGCACATCAGAAGAGGGCACTAGATCTCATTATAGATGGTTGTGAGCCACCATGCAGTTGCTGGGAATTGAACTCAGGACCTTTAGAAGAATAGTCAGTGCTCTTAAGCCCTGAGCCATCTCTCCAGCCCCAATTTCTATTTTTTAAATGATTGTTTCAGTTTTGTTTTTCCTCTAAGGAAGGAGCTCAAGAAGCATGCTTTTGGCCACAGTTCTCATCAAGGGATTTTTGTTTGTTTGTTTGTTTTTCGAGTCAGGATTCTCTGTTTTAGCCCTGGCTGTCCTGGAACTCATTCTGTAGACCAAGCTGTCCTCGTAGTCACAGAGATCTGCCTGCCTCTGCCTCCCCGAGTGCTGGGACACTACCACCCAGTTGACCATCAAAGGTACTTTTAATGCCCAGGACATACTTAGCAACGTCTAGAGACAATTTTCTTTACCACAAATTGGGGGGGGGGGGGGGGGTCTTGGCATCTTTGGAGCAGAGTCCAGGAATGCTGTTAAATTTCCTATAATGCACAGAACAGCCTCTTCTTTAAAAAAAAATAGATAGATAGATAGATAGATAGATAGATAGATAGATAGATAGATAGATA